GAAGCTGCCAAGGCTTTCTACAACTCCTATGCCCGTCGCATTGGCTTTAGTACCCGTGTCAGTTCCTCCCGCCGCTCCCGACGTGATGGAGCTATCATCCAGCGGCAATTTGTCTGTGCCAAAGAAGGTTTCAGAAATATGAATGAAAAGCGCACCAAGGACAGGGAGATCAAGCGTCCCCGGACCATCACTAGAGTCGGTTGCAAAGCCTCCCTCTCTGTTAAAATGCAGGATTCCGGTAAATGGCTTGTCTCTGGCTTTGTCAAAGACCACAACCATGAGCTTGTTCCTCCCGACCAAGTTCACTGTCTGCGTTCCCACAGGCAAATCTCTGGCCCAGCCAAGACCTTGATTGACACACTTCAAGCTGCAGGAATGGGTCCCCGCAGAATTATGTCCGCCCTCATCAAAGAGTATGGTGGCATCAGCAAGGTTGGTTTCACCGAAGTGGACTGTAGGAATTATATGAGGAACAACCGCCAGAAGAGCATAGAAGGAGAGATTCAGCTTCTTCTTGACTACTTGAGGCAGATGAATGCTGACAACCCAAACTTCTTTTATGCTGTTCAGGGAAGCGACGATCAGTCTGTGGGTAATGTCTTCTGGGCTGATCCTAAAGCTAGAATGGATTTCACTTACTTTGGGGATACTGTCACATTTGATACAACCTACAGGTCCAACAGGTACCGTTTGCCTTTCGCACCCTTCACTGGTGTAAATCACCATGGCCAACCCATTCTTTTCGGCTGTGCCTTTATCATCAATGAAACTGAGGCTTCATTTCTATGGCTTTTCAATACGTGGCTAGCCGCAATGTCCACCCACCCTCCTGTCTCAATCACCACCGATCATGATGCTGTTATACGTGCAGCCATCATGCAGGTTTTTCCTGGTGCCCGCCATCGCTTTTGCAAATGGCATATTTTCAAGAAATGTCAGGAGAAGTTGTCCCATGTCTTCCTCAAGCACCCTTCTTTTGAGTCAGATTTCCACAAATGTGTCAATATGACAGAGTCGGTTGAGGATTTTGAGTCATGCTGGTTTTCACTTCTTGACAAGTATGAGCTAAGAGATCATGAGTGGCTACAAGCAATATACTCCGATCGCCGGCAGTGGGTCCCAGTATATCTCCGTGATACCTTTTTTGCCGAAATGTCCTTAACTCAGCGTAGTGACAGTATCAATTCATATTTTGATGGTTATATAAACGCTTCAACCAATCTAAGCCAGTTCTTTAAGCTGTATGAAAAAGCTTTGGAGAGTCGTCTCGAGAAAGAAGTTAAAGCAGATTATGATACAATGAACTCACCTCCTGTTCTGAAGACTCCATCTCCAATGGAGAAGCAGGCGTCTGAACTTTACACAAGGAAGTTGTTTATGAGATTTCAGGAAGAACTAGTTGGAACCCTGACTTTCATGGCATCCAAAGCTGACGATGATGGGGATCTTGTTACTTACCAGGTTGCGAAATATGGAGAGGCTCTCAAGGCTCATTTTGTTAAGTTTAACGTTTTGGAGATGAGAGCAAATTGCAGTTGCCAGATGTTTGAGTTCTCTGGCATCATTTGCAGACATATATTGGCAGTCTTCCGGGTCACCAATCTCCTTACACTTCCACCTTACTACATCCTAAAAAGATGGACCAGAAATGCCAAAAGCAGTGTTATATTTGATGATTATAATTTGCATGCGTATGCTAATTACCTGGAGTCTCATACTGTCCGATACAACACCTTACGCCACAAAGCTTCTAATTTTGTGCAAGAAGCAGGAAAATCTCTGTATACTTGTGATGTCGCAGTAGTTGCTTTGCAAGAAGCTGCCAAGACTGTGTCCCTGGCAATGAATAAGGAAGTTAGAAGAACTATGGCGAACAGGCATTTTAAAGCGAGTTCTGTAACTGATGGAAAACGGATGTGCTGCAATGAGGACTGTCAGCAAGAAGTGCTGGCGCAACCTGAGCCTGAGGTGAGGATCATTTTCTTTTCGATATTAGTTTTCTTTTTGATATAATAACAATAAAGTTTGTTACTGTAAAAAAGGGTATACATTTAAAGTATCGCTTGTTCTGGTTTGCCCCATACAATACAATCATTGCTTTGTCTCCTTGATGGTACCATAATGCTGATTGCTCTGTTAGCATTTGACTAATGAGCTCGTGATTCACATATGCATGTTAAGAGTATGGTCTTCATTTTGCCATTGTGAACCTTTGTTCCATACAATCTCTCATAGATCTGCAAGGTCCTCAATTGTTTGCTATGTGTTTCTACTGCTGACTAATTGCATGACCGTATTTCCTCTACTTTCGCAGGACGAAATGGACAAGAAGATTAATCAGCTCAGAAACGAGCTGGAATTAGCAAACAGGAAATGCGAAGCTTACAGGACTAACCTACTTTCAGTTTTGAAAGAAATGGAAGAGCAAAAGTTACAAGTGTCCATCAAAGTGCAGAACATCAAAATTAGCTTGAAGGATAATCTGTGAAACAAGCAACAATTTCCAACTGCTATTCTCATATATAATTATATTGCTCATGTACTATATCTTAGGGTTTTTGAAAGAGGGACCCAATTTTCAGGATTTCCCTGTTCTTACAGTAGGTAGCCTTTGTAATAGATTGTACTCCCAATCATTTCCTTAATGAGTAAGAGCATTAAGTTTATTCCCAGAAATGTCTGCCATACCAAGTTACCAACCATAGTACGTGGGTTGAATTGTGATGTTATGTATCCATCAGATTGCACTCACTCTTTCAAGCTTAGTCTAGCATTTTGTACCTTGTGAGATAGCTGAAACTTCTGTTCTTCCATATCTCTCAAAATAGACAGCAGGTTTGCTCGATAAACTTCGCATCGCTGGCCTGTCCTCTCCAATTCAGCTGTCAGTTCAAGTATCGTCCTCTCTTTTTCACCCTGGCATTGAAGTAAGTACTTATTCCCAAGGAACAGATGAGGTCAATGTTAAAGAACTATCAAATACCAATGTTCGCTTACCCCTGGATGATTAATTGCATTTGCAGTTTCTCGAGCTTCCTTGGACGGGTAAGCTTCCCCATTGGGAAGCGTAGTTCCAGGTGTTGCTCCTCTAATGTTACTTGCAGCAGCAACCTTCTTGGCAGCTTCATCCAAAGCATCCATCGCAATTTTATAGATCTGAATAGATTTGGCACCTTCCTCGACATACTTGGTTGCTTCTTGGCGTAGACTGTCGTAGCAGACATTTAAAGATTCTTGACAGCTGTTTGAAAACTCAGGTTGTTCCTCAGTGCCTCTAATCTTTGCTTCTTTAGTCCATCGCCTCAGTAGATACCGAGATGGAAGAGTAAGAACATTTTTGGCCCTGAAAACCGCCAATATGTGTCTACAAATAATCCCTGAATACTCAAACATTTGACAGCTGCAATTAGCTTTCACCTCAAGAGAGTCAAAACTGACAGTATGACCTTTGTGAACTTCTCCGAACTTAGCCACACGATAAGTAGTGCGAGTTCCTGAATCACTAATCCTATTTGCATGATTTGCAAGGGTCTCAACAAACTCCTCCTGAAACTTGATGAATGCTACCCTTGTATACAGGCTAGCAGCTTGCTTTTCCATGGGAGAGGGCGTCTTCATAATTGGAGTAGAGTTAGTTGCTTCATAATCTGCTTTCAGTTCTTTCTCACGCCAACTATCAATTGCTTTCTCATACTGTTTTATGAGCATTTGCATCGTAGTTGATGCATCCACAAACCCTTGGAAGAATGAGTTCAAAAAGCTGCTTCCTTCATTTGTAGACAGCTCTCCATAAAAGGTGTCTCGGATGAAAACACGGATCCATTGTTGCCTAGCATTATAAATGGACTGGAGCCAGTCGTTATCCTCTAGATAATATCTTCTGACGATAGAGTCCCAAGATGCCTCAAACTCGGCAGCCGTTTCTGTCCCAGTAACGCAGTTTATAAATTCGGATTCAAAGGTAGGATGAGACTGATAGACGTGAGCAAGTTTCTCCTCAGTTTCCTTGAAGATGAGGGGCTGGCTGAAACGAAGGCGGGTTTGACTGAAAACTCGAGAAACAGCAACCTGTATCAGGCGATCTGGTTCAACTGTGATAGAAGGAGGAGGGGGAGCAGACATTGCTTGAAGCCAAGTCTGGAAAAGCCAGAAAAAGGAGGACTCAGATTCGTTGAGTATGAGAGCACAACCAAAAAGAACAGGCTGCCCATGATGGTTGAACCCGGTGAAAGCAGCAAATGGCACTTGATACCTCTTACCCCTCCTGTAGGTGGTGTCAAAAACTAAGGTATCACCAAAGTAGGTGTAATTCAACCTGCAAGTTGGATCCGCCCAGAAAACATTTCCACAATCGTCCTCAATTGCATATAAGAAACCAGGATTCTCGAGCTGCCTACGTTTCAGATAGTTCAATACATGCTCGACCCCGCTTCCCACACTCATGCTTACTTCCTCCTTCCGGTTAAACCACTAATTCTGCCACTATCACAAGGAACAAAGTTGCAGAAGCGATTGACAATCAATACGGGAAAGACAAACTGCCGAGAGAATTCTAGAGATGATTACCTGCGATTATAGCCATTCACAAGATATTTTTGAAAGGTTACAACTTTGAAACCCTAAACTTGTAACTGTAACTGAATCAATGGCTTCCGCGACCGGACGGAGTCTGTTGGATCCGACCGAACTCGGTGACGGTTTTGTCTATCTCAGCTTACACTCTCCTGCCGTTTTTATAACCTAAAACGGCAAAGCAGGTAGCTTATTGTAACCAATGTTGTGACTGGTAGGCAGGCCTAGTCCTTTTAACTTTGGGCCCTTCAATGAAAATAATAACTTTAGGCGGCCTATTTGAGTTTTTTTTTTGGTCCGTCAACAAACAATTATTGAGTGCCTTCAAAAAAAAAAAAAAAAAACAATAATCGGACGACTTCTTCTTGATTCAACTTTCATCGGAAAAACCGAATAACAAAAACCTTACACACACCCGTCCAAGGAGAGAAAGAATAGAATAGTTACAAACGTGAATAACAAAGGGACTCTACTTGAAAGAGCATTTGAAGCAAACAAAATTTCAAGTTTGGCCGGTTTAAAATACGGTTGATCTCATCTACGTGTCAGAATTCTCATTACATCAAAGAGAGCAGAGGGGGTTTCATTTTTATATGACAGGTACATACTACTTAGAGGCAGAGAACGATCAACCATCTCTTGTCATCAAATGTGACTTTTTGACATATTTGTGGAATGAATGAGCCCACAAATTCACATGTTACTCCTCTGTAATGTGAAAATTAAGAACAGTTGTCGGCTACAAGTCACAGGTATAAGTGCTAGCCTCAAGTGTGAAAGCAATTATGACGATTTAGTGGTAATTCTCCATGCTTTTTACCCTCCCATACTTAACAAGCTGCTAGACTGCATTGCTGCATATTCTGTTCTGCAGTAAGGCTAGGCAGAATCTTCTGTTGCTTGTCGGTTGCTGCAATAATCACAAGCCAAGAATGACAATGACTTATCCAACAACATACACATCCCACTTTAATCCTCGCTAGACCAATCATCTTATTTGCACACTACACACTTTCCCGCTTAAGGAAGAAGATGAAAATCACGGAGTCCTGTTTTGTTTGCAGTTGAATACCTGAAAACACTATATGGATATGCACTTGATCGGGCCATGGTGGTGGTTCAATCATAATTAGGTAATTTTCAAAAGAATCGATGATAAACGAATGCATAGTGAGCATGGAATCATCTGGAAAACACTCTATTGATATCACAATCAGTGAAGGAAAAGCTCGTGCCAGAAATTGGTGCACAAGCTGAAAATAGCTTACAGAGAGAGAGAGAGAGCCTGATGAAGGAAAACTAGAGAGATATAAAAAGCTAGAAGCTTGCAGTTACATCTGGAAAGCCAAACTTCTCATGGAATTTCTTTGTGTTACAGTCCAGCATTTCTCTAAGGCTGCAGACAATGTTGTTCTTTTTAACAAGTTTAAACCTTGATTCTACCTTCTTCTTCAATCCATGGTGAAAGAATTCAGGATAAGAAGCCACTTCATCCATGCCTCTTCCCATCACCTGGACTAGGAATCTGATCCTAGGTTGTAGTGAATTCTTAATACTCTTAATCAAAATTGGGGGATAACCAGTCACCATGGTTGCTATCTGGGAATCTCCAAAGCCACACTCCCTCAAATAATCATAATTTGGTTTCAGAATCTTGTTAACGTCTCTGCACAAAAGTTGTGGGAAATTCATGACCACCGACTGAATGCCATCCTCACTCAGACCAACGGATGATTTCAAGAATTCAGTGGTAGGCCGTAACCGTTTATCAACACTATACCCCATAAGAAATGGGTTCTTGACCAGAACTTTGCCGATCATCCCATCTTGGTCAAGGCCAAGACTAGCAAGAAAGCTGACGATCACTGTCAGCTTGGTGTCGATGCTGTAGCTGATAAGCCTTGGGTTAAAAAGTATCATTTTGCCAAGTTGAGTCTCAGGCACACCCAACGCTTGAAAGAAAGCAAGAAGGGGGCAGAGTTTCTCCTCCACGCTATGAGAGAGAATTGGAGGAAACTTGGTAATGGCGGAAGACACTTCCCGAGGATTCCTTCCTAGACTGGAGAGGCACTCGACCATGGGGATGAGTCTCTCATCGAGGCGTAAAGTCAGGATTTTGGGGCATCGAGAGACGATGTAAGGGAGTTTTCTCTCTTGGATACCGACAATGTTCCTCAGGTAGTCCCAGTTTTCAGATGCCACATCGCTTTGGGCCTTGTCCAACTGCTTGCATTTTCTCAACATCTTGTCGATACTCGGATCATCGAAACCTTTGTCCCTGAAGAACCACATGATGCTGCTGGTATTTGTGACCTCCATACCACTGCAAGACAATTTTGCTTTACTTAAAAGATGATTCGAGCTTGAGCAAGGAAGTAGAGAGGAATTTACCTTTCCGGCTATCCAATTGAACTGAAAGTGAGAAGCTTATCCACAGACACAGAGGAGGAAGGAGGACTTTCTTTCTTTCTTATACCCTTATAGAGTAAATGACTTTTATATCCCTCAATCCTTGTCGCGTGACTAAACCCTTCCCTTCTTCTCTTCTCTTTGAAAGAACCCTAACTTTTTCGAATCAGCGGCAGATAACGATGGTGCCCTCCTCGAAAGCCGTCGTTTTTGCAAGGCAGATGGCGAAGCAGATTCGTGTTACGACGCCGTCGATTTCCGCTACACGCTTTCTCTCGACGGGCGACAAAGGTCAAGAAAAGCAGCAGAACCCTCCAGAGCCCTTACCCAACAGACCCTTGCGAGGTGAGAGATCTTCCAACTCTCACAGAGAACCACCCGCTAGACAAGCCCACGACCTTGGAAAGATTGATAATACTCTGTCTGACGATGGCTTCCTCGAGCAGTTCAAGCTTGGAGTCAATCAGGATTCACAGGAAACCCCCAAACCGGAACAATACCCACAGGACCCCTTACTGCCGCCTGAAGATTCCGATGAAATCTTCAAGAAAATGAAGGAAGGAGGTCTCATCCCTAACGCGGTCGCCATGCTTGACGGCCTCTGCAAAGATGGGCTTGTACAGGAGGCCATGAAGCTTTTCGGATTGATGCGTGACAAGGGTACAATCCCTGAGGTCGTTATCTACACTGCTGTCGTTGAGGGCTTTTGCAAGGCTCATAAAATTGAAGACGCTAAGAGGATTTTCAGGAAAATGCAGACCAATGGCATTACTCCAAATGCCTTCAGCTATGGTGTGTTGGTTCAGGGATTGTATAATTGCAACATGCTTGACGATGCTGTTACTTTCTGTTGTGAGATGCTCGAGTCTGGTCACTCTCCCAACATCCCCACTTTCGTTGGATTGGTTGATGCCTTGTGCAGAGAAAAGGGCGTTGAACAAGCCCAGTCCGCTATTGATGGCTTAAACCAAAAAGGATTTGCTCTTAATGTTAAGGCTGTCAAGGAGTTCATGGATAAAAGGGCTCCATTTCCGTCTTTGGCTTGGGAAGCCATTTTCAAGAAGAAACCAACCGACAAACCCTTGTGATTTTCCTATTTACTTACGCACTGCTGTTAAGTATGCCGTCTCAGTAAGATGTTTTCTTGACTTGTAATAACAACCTTGAAAGTGAAAATCAATCTGCGTCTTTCTTCTTTGTGAGTTTTCCCTTTTGCTTGGAGTCTGGTATCAAGTTTTTCTTTTGTCCTCTAAAATGTGTAGTTGTAGATGTAATTCATAATTGAGCCCACAGAGAGTCCCAATTCATTCCAAGGGGCATTACCTGTTTTCATGCATTCTAATATTGATTGCAAGTTCAATGAATGGATGCTAGACTGATAAGAGTGGTAGATCTAACATTGTGTTGGCGGCATAGGGGTGTCAAAAGGAAATTATGCTTGAAGCTTATCAGTGATTACCAATGATGTATGTGACTGTTGCAAATTTGGCCGAGTTCATGAACAATAGTATCATTGGTTACATACATCAGGCATAAAACTACATCATTCTCCAAAGGCACTGCTGATCTGAGTGTTCTGGAGAAGCTGGCGCTATATTGAATACATATTTGGAGATCTTTACTTGATTTGGTCGGCTGTATTATATTCGTGAACTCAAAGTCAAGGCCTGTTTTAGTGGAAGAATGACTCCTTGCTTTTAATATATAAATAATACACTGGATATGCAATGCATGCCCTTGAGTCTTGACTATGTTATGTGATGAATCCGAGGTTTAAGGGATCAAGGTGAGTTGGGTGGGGGGGTTATTTCAATGCCATCTTTTGCTTGTTTCGGCGTCATGTGATTCTTGTATTGTTTACTATTATAATATGCAAGTATCAGGTAATGCTTAAGATGGAAGCATGTGCATCTCGTATGTTGACCATAACCTCTCCAAGAGTTTTCTTGGAGTTGGGAGAATCGCTGACTTGATTAAAGAAAAACAACAAAAGAATATAATAAGAGATGGGAGGTGGGGTCGGCGCCGTCCCTACACTCTGCCGAATTCTAGGTTCGATGATCATTTCGGAGATGATATTAGTCTATAAAAGAGAGGGAAGGAATGAGGTAAAGAAGCAGAAAGCTGGAGAAAGATGATTTCAATGTTGTTTCCGCGGTCGCCTTTGTGCACAGCAGCCATAGTATTCTACACATGTGTGTGCATTCCCTTAGGGAGGTTGAAGAAGAATGGTGGAGATGCAGAAGCGCATGATGATGACGGTTACCATCTAGTGGGAGTGATGTTTGGGGACAAGGAAAAGGAGGAGGAAATTTGCTGCCCCATATGCCTGGCGGAGTTTGAGGCTGAGGATGCGGTGACCCGTCTTCCCAGATGCGCTCATCTCTTCCACATCAATTGCATAGAACCTTGGCTTCTCCGTGGCCATCTCACGTGCCCTCTCTGCAGATCATTTGTATTGGCTCCAACTCCTTATACGCGCAATGTCAATAATGTCCACTCCTCTTCCACCTTGTATCTCCCTATCTTCTTTTTTTTCTGCCTCTTTCTCCATCTTCTTGTAGCCTAGCTTCCTTGTTAATTTTACACCCATTCTTTATTTATATAATACATATTGTCTTAGTTTCCAAGCACATAATGTCTCCATCTCCTTTTCATTCAAGAGTTTGTGGATTACTTAGTTTTGTGAAATACTGTACTAAACAGAGACAAAAGCAGCACGAGTTAGCCTTGTGTGCTGCTGCTCTTTGCTCTGTTTCCCAAATGATTTGTTGTTGTTACTCTGCCATTAAAAAGTTAATGGTACACAATGCGAAACTGTCTCGTCTCCCTAATGAGCCAACTTAATGGGCCTTATTTTAAACCATAACAGATTAAAAGTGGGCCTTTCCTTTAATAAAAAAAAAGTTAAAAAGGTTGGAAGAGAAGAGAGAGTAGTAGGCTACAGTTTCAGTCAGAGGTGAAAATCTGAAAGCAAAGCAGAGAGCTCCCTTCTCCTCGGCGAGGAGGAAGGAAGAAGAAAGCCAGAGAGAGAGAGAGAGAGAGAGTCGCAGCTTCCCCTCCGACCATTTGACTGCGACTGTGACTACAACACACCGTTGATCCTACAAAAAGGTCAGACTCTCTTCCTTGTCTGCGTGATTCCATTTTCCGTCGTCTCTCTTGCCTCGCCGTCTTTTGATATCTTCACTTGCTTTCCTTTCTCTTCTGCACATTAGATTTGATTATTTCATAACATAAAATGTTGTTGTCATTCGAACGCGGCCATGGCTCCGCTAGTCCGCGGCTAGGGTTTAGTTATCATTTTTTTAAATAATTTAATTTTTATGGATCGGCGTGCAGAGGGAATGGATACTGGCGGCAATTCGCTGGCGTCCGGACCTGATGGTGTGAAGAGGAAAGTTTGTTATTTCTATGACCCTGAGGTCGGCAATTACTACTATGGCCAAGGTCACCCCATGAAGCCCCATCGCATCCGCATGACCCATGCCCTTCTCGCTCACTACGGTCTCCTTCAGCATATGCAGGTTCTCAAGCCCTTCCCTGCCCGCGACCGTGATCTCTGCCGCTTCCACGCCGACGACTACGTCTCCTTTCTCCGCAGCATTACCCCTGAAACCCAGCAAGATCAGATTCGCCAACTCAAGCGCTTCAATGTTGGTGAAGACTGTCCCGTCTTTGACGGCCTTTATTCCTTTTGCCAGACCTATGCTGGGGGCTCTGTTGGTGGCTCTGTCAAGCTAAACCACGGCCTCTGCGATATTGCCATCAACTGGGCTGGTGGTCTCCATCATGCTAAGAAGTGCGAGGCCTCTGGCTTCTGTTACGTCAATGATATCGTCTTAGCTATCCTAGAGCTCCTTAAGCAGCATGAGGTTTGTCTCCTGCACCATTATGATATATTTAAGGGATGTTTATGTGGTTTCTAAATCTCTTCCTCTTCCTCTCTTGTTTGCAGCGTGTTCTTTATGTCGATATTGATATCCACCACGGGGATGGAGTGGAGGAGGCATTTTATGCTACTGACAGGGTTATGACTGTCTCGTTCCATAAATTTGGTGATTACTTTCCCGGTACAGGTCACATACAGGATATAGGTTATGGTAACGGAAAGTACTATTCTCTCAATGTACCACTGGATGATGGAATTGATGATGAGAGCTATCATCTGTTATTCAAGCCCATCATGGGGAAAGTTATGGAAGTTTTCCGACCAGGGGCTGTGGTATTGCAGTGCGGTGCTGATTCATTGTCTGGTGATAGGTTGGGGTGCTTTAATCTTTCGATCAAAGGTCATGCTGAGTGCGTCAAATTTATGAGATCGTTCAATGTTCCCCTACTGCTCTTGGGTGGTGGTGGTTACACCATCCGCAATGTTGCCCGTTGCTGGTGCTACGAGGTACTTTCTTCAGTTCATTATATGCTGCTCTAGCTTTGCATTGAAATTTCCTTGGTCTCTGTACCAAGGTTAGCTCTCTGTGACAAACAGTTACTAGATTTGTCTGGTGCCTCTTTTTCTTTGAATTTATTTCGATAAACTGTTTATATGACAGACTGGAGTTGCACTTGGTGTTGAAGTTGAAGATAAGATGCCGGAGCATGAATATTATGAATATTTTGGTCCAGACTATACACTTCACGTTGCTCCAAGTAACATGGAAAATAAGAATTCTCGTCAGATGCTTGAAGAGATTCGCAATGACCTTCTCCACAATCTCTCTAAGCTTCAGCATGCTCCAAGTGTGCCATTCCAGGAAAGACCACCAGATACAGAGGCTCCCGAGGTATGCCACTTGAGCAAATCATTTGAAGTGTATTGGCTCCTTTATTTCTGTTGCCCATTCTTTCTTGCATTTCCTCATGGATTTTTGGTGAGGTTATTTAAGTGTAACTACATTTAGAATTAGAATTTTCTAATTTAAACAGCTGGGGCTGGTTAATAAGGTTCGTCCAGTTATATTTGTCTACGTATTCCTTGATGGATGACTCTGGTTGTTTACCAATCTTAGTGTTGTAAATTACGCCTTCTATGTAAATTATAGGTTGATGAAGACCAAGAAGATGGAGATAAAAGATGGGATCCGGATTCAGACATGGATGTAGATGATGACCGGTATGAAATATATATGTTTCCTCCCCTTTTTTTTTGGGTTCATGCCAGCGGTGTAATGTTTACTTAATCTGGGATCGCATTGTGCAGTAAACCTATACCAAGCAGAGTAAAAAGAGAAGCTGTTGAACCAGATACAAAGGACAAGGTACTACAGGATTATCTCTTATTTGTTTCGATTGCTCAGACACTTTTTCTGGTACAAACATTTAAAGACATTAGTTCATCTAGGTTTACAGCATTTTCCAGAACTGTACAATGTGCTCTGATAACATTTCTCATCCCGAGACCCAAAACCTAAAGATTCCAGAATGAGGGTAGCGAATCTTTAGCTATGGTTTAATCATTTAGCCTAGGCTAGTTAGTATGCTCCAACGATGGACCTGATTAGATAATGTGACCTTGTAGCCAAGCTGAGCTGAATCATCATCTCAGACTCTCAATTCCTATAGCCGTCTCCTTTTCTTCCTGATCTAGACTCTGATTTCCATTTAGCATATATAGCATGTCAGTTGAGAATGCAATTTGCTTGGAAAGGTGAAGAGATTAATTTATTTATCATGACGTGTAGTTCGTGCAGGATGGACTGAAAGGAGTTATGGAGCGTGGCAAAGGTTGTGAGGTGGGGGTGGATGAGAGTGGAAGCAGTAAGGTAAAATGCAACAATGGACAGGGCTGAAAAGGGCGGGAATGGTGGTTTTCTAAAGTGGATAGTTTGATTGCAGGTTACAGGAGTGAACCCAGTGGGAATGGAGGAAGCAAGTGTGAAAATGGAAGAGGAAGGAACAAACAAGGGTGGGGCGGACCAGGTGTTTCCTAAAATATAAGACTTGGAGCTTCTAATTTCTTGCTACTTTTCCGTCTCTCAAATGTTTTTAGTTAAGTTTCTGGAGTTGTTGTTGTAAGCACTCTTGTGTTTTTGAGGATTGATTGAGCACGGACGATATGTATTTATTCGTTGCATGTCTGAATGATGATATGACAAGACGAGATATGCCTTTTGCTATATATGTATTGATTGGGCCGAAGAGAAGGGAAGACACCCATTGATGTAGCAAAACGCAACAATGAACATCAACTACTGAAGTGCGTGGAGAAGGATGCACAAGTTATTCGTTACGAGTCATGCGACAATTTTAACAATTAAGGGATTTCTAACTCTAAATTAATTAAAATGTAAATCTCTTTAACTCTTTAAGATTAAGCGAAAACTGGAACACCTCTCTCTCTCGTATTTCTCTTTTGTGATTGCTTAGTTTTCCCCCGGAGATTGAAACATGTTCACGGCGGCAGCTTCGTCAAGCGCGGGAAGGTGGCGGACGGCGTTTCTCTATCTGAGGGACGAAATCGCAACGACTCCACCGCCGCCGGTTCCTCTGTTGCTCCAGGATCTACTCTTCTCTCAATCCCATTCCCTTGTCTCTGCCGTCTCTCACCTCCCACCGCACGAGCTCACTTCCGATTGCTTGTTCCTGCTCGATTTGGTTTCCAAAGCTGATGGTCCTGACTGGATCCCTGTCTCTCGTCATACTTGTCAACTGATTCACGATGTTTGTGCTCGTCTACTTTTCCAACTAAATTCTTCGTCATGGCCGTTCCTTCTTCACTCTTTTGCTTCTGTCTTGGAGTTTCTTCTTCGCCAACCCATGCCTTCTTCACCCTATTCCACTGCATATTTCTCCAGAATCGAACCTGTGATCCAATGCTTCGAGACTCTAAGGTTATTATATTATCTTCTCACACTCTCGTTATTACATATATCCAATGCTGACATTGTTTTAACCTTAATTCATAATCTCCTCTTCCTTTTCCCAGACGTTTGGCCGCTATGCACCCGGAGAACATTCATCTTGTCAAGTTTCTTCTGCGCATAATTCCTTTATTACACCAGGATTTAGTTTTATCGTATGGTTTCTCAAATCAAAACCCCCCTCCTACTTTAGATCTGGAAAAGAAACTGCCTCAACAGAATAGCTTATGGGATTTCATGGCTCTTGCCTTTGACATGTTTGGTAGAGCATTCTCTGTATCTGAATCTTTGTTTCCTACTGACGTCTGCCAATGCTCGCTAGAGGTAATTTTCCCCTTCACTGATCGATCCTCTCATTTCTCTAATATGCTTTGTTTCTCAAGTTGGTGCATCCTCATATAGGTTCTAAGGAAAGTAATGGACGTCCTAGCATCTAAGGGCCAGCTTGTCGAAAACCGATTTATGTGGAGGTACGTCTTAAGGGCTTTACAACTATGCCTTTGGTTTTGTGGAGACTACAATTTACTCCTCTTTTTCCTGGTTTATATTAGACTTGTGGCCCCCTTAGGTAATATTCATTTCTTAAATTTCTGCAGATTTTATTCATGCCTTCTAGGCTGTGCGCACGAGGTCCTTACAAATATCAAATGTCCTGTTTCTGATCACGTAAGTGGCTTCTTGATAGCCTTTGCTCCTCCTCTTAGCCTTGGATAAGTGATTTTCTGGTTTAACCTGCATATGCAGACTTTTTTCCATTGTTTAAGCAGAAGTTGTAATGTTGCAGGTCTTAAGTTTCATAGCGGCATTGAGAATGTTTTTCTGTTTTGGACTTACTGGCCCACCTCAGTTATCTCATTCTGATGTTGTTCACAAAGATAAGCATTTGAATGTCAAGCTTTCTACATTGATTTCTGGAGTAAGTAAGAATGCCAAGAATACTCCTTATAGGCCACCCCACTTGCGCAAGAGGGATGATTTGAACACTAAGCAGCCAGTGTATTGTGACTGGCGGCGCCTGTCTGCTCATGACTCTTGTAGTTCTGATGTTATATCATCAGATTCTGATTTTAGTGACAGTGACGGTTCCGTACCGGATTCTTATTTTGCCCAAAGCTCGAAGGTTAGAATAGCTGCAATTGTTTGCATACAGGTGAGTAACATTGTTTTATTGTTAGTTGGTTCTCATCTTCTACTTAGCTTTTCAGTGACAATTACTTATTCATTCTCTTGTTCTCCTGTAAAGGATCTTTGCCAGGCTGATTCAAAGTCATTTACCACTCAGTGGGTGACTCTCTTTCCAACAAGTGATGTACTCAAGCCAAGGTGGAAAATTAACCTACAACATCTTTTGTCACCATATCGTAATATTTTCTTGTCTCCTTAACTTTCCGAGATCATTAACAGGAAGTTTGAAGCTACTCTAATGACCTGCTTGCTTTTTGATCCTCATTTGAAGGTGGTTACTCTTGTCCCTTTTCAAGTCATTGAGGCACATATTTCGATGCCGTTCTCCATTTTTCACATTCCCAATAACTTTTATGGTTAAGCAAATATGTCTACAGATGTTTTTCTGGCTCAACTTCATGACTGCTGAGTCCTGGCAATACTTTTTTTGTTTATTTTGCAATGTCTAGGTAAGGATTGCATCTGCGTCAGCTCTTGCCACCATGATGGATGGGCCTTCACCTATTTTTCTTCAAGTGGCAGAGTACAAGGAATCTACCAAATATGGATCATTTATGCCCCTCTCCAATTCCCTTGGTCTAATATTAATGCAACTCCACACAGGTAATTCAACGACAGTAATTGTCTTAACCTTTTTCTTCTTGTCTGGCTATTAGTTTTTCCTTGTTGACCAAGATTTTTATGCCTGTAGGCATTCTACATTTGATTCACAGTGATAATCATGGTAGATTGTTGATTCAGCTGTTCAAGATCCTCTTGCTTCTGATATCAAGCACACCGTACGTACAGTTCTTCTGTATTTAATTTGTTATAATGATATTCGTTTTATTGTAAAAGTATTGTATCTTTTAAAGGTATTTGATATCCGCTATCATAAAACCTTAATGGCTCTTGATTAAGATTTACCTTTGAGTAAGTAAATTGCGAAAGCTTCATTAATACGTGCGTAGACCCAGCTCCATTTAGCTGATGTTATATTCTTGTTAAAATTTGCAACTACTTTGGGATCTTCTATGAGATTTCATGTGTTCTTTAATGTTTGTTATCATTTTCAGTTACTCGAGAATGCCGGGAGAATTGCTGCCAAAAGTTATAATTTCTCTGCATGCTAGGATTAATGAGGGGTTTCCTTTCAAAAATGATAAAACTGGTCTGCTGGTTAGTGCTTCCTTTTCCTTATGTTGATTTGTCTGTTTGCTGTCTTCATTTATGATGGAGATATGGATTCACATTTCATATCTAGGTTTTCTGTCTTGGACTATCCTAGTTTCCAGTAGCTAAAGTCATAGGATTTAAACTAATTTTAGTCACATATATAAATTTGTCGCCTTAGGGAAGCAATAGGAGGAGAAATATTTTGGGATTTCTCTGGACGGTACAGGCATTGGACAAGGGTCTAGAGTCGTGTTTGGGAGAGTTTTGTCTCTGTTTATGTTTTGCAGTCCTTATCCTGTCTATAAAATATGTTATAGTTCCTTTCTTTTCGCTGAATTCCTAATCCCATCGATCTTAAGTTTTCATTCATGGAGGAAAAGAAGAGGTGTGGTAAGAACCAAGTAATGATCTTTCTTCATTCATCAAACCAAAGAAAGTATTGAGACTCTTTGAATAGAGGATTCTCAGCTCTGGACCCAATACCTAACCCACACCAATACAATTCCCCAATGATTATCATATTTTCTCCACTCTATCTAAGCCTTCCCACATTTGATGGTTGGTTATGCTGAGCTGGGAACTCAGGCTTTTAACTTTCTGAATAAAATATTCTCTGAACTCTAACTTCTTTTAAAAATATTGGTCCTGTGAATGCCATACCTATATCATGATCTGTTTTGTATAGGTTGCTGCAATAGGTTGCCTGACAGCTGCATTTTCCACCTTTCCTCCTCAAATGAAAGTGCATTATATGCTTTTGGATGAGACATCAGCAGGTCGACCTTATCTTGCGCCTGTTCCATGGTGACTACTGTCCTAACCATAATCTCATTATAATATTTGACATTCTTTCTTGAAGTCATTTCAGGATTCGATGGATGTGAATGGAATTCAGGAGTTCTTTCTACTTTATTTCGTTTTGCTGAGCAATTTGCTGACGCATCAACATGCATTGAGGCTCTTCAGGTATTAGGTTGTTCTTATTATAGTTGATTTCCCTTCTAAGGAGTTCTTATAAAAGTAGAAGGATAGACTCAGAATAAATTCAGGTGCATATGGTGCTGTCTGAACTCTTTAAGTACATTAAGAAAACTTTTAACATTTTTTTTTGCTGAGGGAGAAAATTATGTGAGACTAGGTCATGGTTGAGGAATATGCTGACTTTTTGTTTCCCTTTCATGTATCCCTATGTAGAGATTTTGATAATGAGAGCTGCTACATTACCTGTCCTATGTTTTCATCCAAAATTATATGGTTTTCGCGCAGGTCCTCCGAGCTGTGGCTCTCAATTACCCAACCTTAGTGCCAGCATATTGGGAACGGGTCTCTGTCCTCGTGTATAAACTTTTGCAGTCTGCTGTTGTTGAAGATTCTCCAACGACATGGAAGGCTTCAGTTAGAGAGTCTGTTGGATATAATGGGGATAAAGTCCTTACAGCTGCTATTAAGGCAGGATATCAAATAACTTTCTATATATTTAAAATTGAAAACATATTCTAAATTCCCTAACTTCTGTGGAGCAGGGCTATTCATTGCTGATTGGTAGCATGCTCAGATTTAGTTTTGATTTTGTCTGCTCTTGGAAAGAACCTAGCTTGACAGCTGAACCATTTGAGCAATGTCTTTGGGCCATGTTTACAAATAAGAACTTACACAGGATTGTATGTAGGTTTTGGATGGATGCCTTCGCGCAATATCTGGATTTAAGGGAACAGAAGATCTTCAGTACGATAGATTAATGGATACACCATTTACATCTGACTGCATAAGGTCAATAAGAATCTCATCTGCACCATCATATGGATTTGATAATACCCAAGAGCCAATCTTTCAGGCAGGATGTGACCAATGGTCTGAGGCTATTCGTAAACATATAGTTCTGGTGTTACACCATGGTTCTGCAGTGGTGGGTTAAAAT